TTCCTGACTAACTGCACTTTTACTCCCTCAATTAATATATATCAAGTACCTGCTATGTGCAATAATTAAAGAATGCCATATGTATGAATGTATATGAATTTTTAAAGAGTTCTGTATTCAAAGATGTCCCTATTGACAGTATTATGTACTGCTTTGGACCTGCGTCATCAGTAGGCCTTAATGTTTGATTCGTGAATACTGATGATAGTTCAGTTGCACAATTCCCTTCATCCTCAACTGCACCTCACCCCACTTCCCCCTCCCCATTCCCCATTAATCTTTCCTGTAGCTCACTGGTACACCAGATGAGGCCAGTGGGGGTGGGAGTAGTTTTGTCATGTGACCTTCTTAGAACCTGTACACTTCAGTGTCTCCCTAATTTTTTGACCATACTCTCATGGAACTGAACACCCATGTCTCTGTGTGTGTGATGGATGAGTTTTCATTGGGACTGGGTCACAAGAGCATGAAGCTTTTCATTTGAAACTCAGGACACATAACATATATCTGAGGATATCATTTAAAATGTAACCCTATGATTGTAGATCTGGAAAGGATGTCATGAGATTGTATGTAATGCTTCTTTGTATACAAGTGTACAGCAATGAAAAGAAGAGTTGTATCCCGTTTCTTTGAATTATCCAATAAAGTAGCTGTAGCATCCCTTGATGATAGAAAATTCTTCCTAATATATACTCAAATGAGATAATGTATGTTAAGCACTTTGCAAACTTTAAGTCACTATATAAATATCTTATTACTTATGATCCTTATTGTAGTAATGGAAAAGGAGACACTTAGGTACTGGAGAGACACAGAGAGAGCGAGAGAGAGAGAGAAGGGAAGGATAAAGGATTATGGAAGAAAGCAGAAAGTTAATCTTTTCACATCAGTTTTTTATGCTGTCCTTATATAATGTCAGGGGTGAGATTAAAGGCAATATTTGGCAGACATTTGTGTTTATCTACTTCTCTGTGCCTCGGAACCTAACAAGTTCAGAAGGGAAATATTTTTTCTTCAGTAATGATATAAATTAGTTTTCTAGTTATTCTTTTTACAAGTTAAGTAGAAACTCTAAGGCCCTTGCCCTAGTCCAGATGGAGACATTTACTCTTAGTCGGAGTAACCCACTTTCTGTTTTTTCTAAACAACCCCCCTTTCCCAAAAAAGATGTAAGTCTTCCATTGTCATATGATGCATTGTTCTGAGCTATCTGAAATAATAGATACATCTGGATGAATCCTGAAGTGATAGGTTCATTTAACTTTCATTTTCACTTTCCAATCTTTAGTGTTTAGAGCCAATTATCTTCCTTAAAGTGAGTTGATATCTTTATATTTATATCCTGATTTCTCCTTTTTAAATGAATAGACTCAAAAAGAGACAAAGGAAGAAAAAATCTCTCAGTCTGTTTTATTGATATAAAGAAGTTCCTTTGACTCGAGGGTAGTTAAAATTGTCCTTGACTCCAGGCCTTTTGGGGGGGTTGTGTTGCCCCTTAAAAATTCAACACCCTGGGTTAGCCTTGCAAGATACACTTTTTTTTAAAAAATTCACTCAATGAGCATTTCTTAAGTGTACATGCATGGCAAAGTGGACAAAAATCAGATACATTTTTCTGAAGGACAGAATTTCAACTACTGCGATAAAAGGGCACAATAATTAGCAGACTCATGAATTATTCTTAAGTTCCAAAGGTTAAATACTATAATAATTTATTTGATCCAGCATTATATAATAAGTTGACTGTATGGTAGGACATATGAAGTCCAAACACATTTCATGGAGTCACAGAATTACAAGACAGCAACAATAATAATAGCTCACATTTATATAGTGCTTTAAGGATTACGTATGTTATCTCACTTGATCCCCACAACAGTCATTTGAAGTGGGTGCTGTTCTTATCCCCATTTTATAGGATAGGGAGGGACCTTAGAATTCATCTAGTCCAACCCCAAACTGAAGCATGAACTGTATAACACCTCCAGTAAGTCCTCATATGGCCTTCATTTTAAAACTTTCAGGGAATTCACTATTCATTATTGTAGCCTTTTCTTTTTGGAAAGCACTTAGTTATTGTTAATTTAAATTTAAAGTTAATTTAATTGAAATTCTTTCTAGCCAGGAGTCAAAATTTGCCTCTCTGTAATTTCTTCCTTTTGGTCTTCCTTCCATCCTCCATGACTAAGAACAAATTGACTACTTCCACGTGGCAGTACATTAAATATCAGAAGACAATAATTTTGTCTACCTCCCTCCCCTTCACAAGTCCAGGTTAGATACCCCCAGTTCCTTTGACTCAACCACGTGTAAGCATGGTTTCAAATCCCTGCACCATCTATTGGCCCTCTTTTTAGATACCCTTTGGGGTACCTAGGTGGCACAGCAGATAAAGTGCCAGGCCTGGAGTCAGGAAAACTCAACTTCATTAGTTCAAATCTGACTTCTGACACTTACTAGCTGTGTGGCCCTGGGCAAGTCACTTAACCCCTTTTGCCTCAGTTTCCTCATCTATAAAATGAGCTGGAGAAGGAAATGGCAAACCACTCCAGTATCTCTGCCAAGAAAACCCCAAATGGAGTCACAAAGAGTTGAACGCAACTAAAAAACAACTTAACACAACAGCAACAAATAGATACCCTTCAGTTTATTAATGTCCCTTTTAAAACATGTTAATCAAAACTGGACATACTATGCCAAGTGTAATGAAAGATTTAGAATGTTTATGGTATAGTGGCAAGTTCGCTTGACTTGGGAGTCATAAGACCTGGATTTACTGTCTGCCTCTGTGTGACTTTGGACAAGTCACCTTAGTTTCTTTTTTTGTAAAGTATAGGTTGTTGAATTAGATGGCTTCTGAGATCCCTTCCAACTCCAAGTCTGTTATCCTATGAAATGGTACTTAAAAATCTCCCTTAGTCTTTGTTCTTTTAGTAATACTAAAAACAGAATATTACTACAATCTAAAACTACAGTTTTACTGTATTTAATTGTAATAAAATTATACTTTAGATTTTAATTTGTAGAAGAAAATATCTGGTTAGTTAAACAAAAGATTCCTAAGTTGGGAGAGATAGTTGGTGTAATGGAGATAGAGGATGTAATATTTAATAAAAAGCTTTATAACACTATGTGACATTGGGCAAGTCACTTAATCTGAATTTCAGTTTCCTATTTATAAAATGTGGGGCTTAGACTATGTTATTTCAAAGGTCCCTTCTTTCTCTAAATCTGTGATCTTACTAATTATTCTTCCCTGTTAGCTAATTTGAAATTTAGCAGTGACAGGTGGTTTTTGAGATAGATACATGTTTGGAATGTGCTTCTGCATATGTTCATGCTTAGATATTTTGCCTATTAAAAGAAAATTCCCAAAGATTAAAGAAGTCTAAGAGCAATATATAAGTAGTGTTATGTTAAATAAAAGTATATTTTTGTCTAGTTATGATTAAGATAGAGCAAAAAATAGCAACAGTTCCTAGAGAATCTGTGACCGTATAATTCAGACATTCAGCTATGATAAGTTATTTTATGTTGAGGGTCTTGGGCCCTTTTCAGTTCAACAAGTACCTGATAAATGCAAGGCACTGATAAGAAATAAGCGTACCTTAGTTATTTAAAATGGTTAGTGATAAGCAGGTAGAGAATATTAAAAAAATTTCCTGGCTTTTGAATAATTTGCATTTGGCTATTTAATACTTAATATAGTAGGAATAATATTTATATTCTGAGCTTTTCCAGTTTACATTTTGAACTATTACCATAATCATTCTTTAAAAAAAAAAAGACAAGAAAAGAAAGGAGGAAAAGGCATAGTAACATTATAGAAAGATATTTACTTTGTTTAAAGTCTTTGAAGATTCCTATTTTCTTGGTAACTATAAATTTTACATATCATCAAAGGCAATTTTGTAATGAATTTGATAACTAGCTTATTTAATATCTAACTTAGGGTAGTGTGAAAACAAAGCTATGCTGTACAAGAGGACAGTATGGTGGGAAATTATAACATTTGTATTTTCAACAGCTTTTACCTCTTCTTTCTATATGTGTCTACAGAGGGAAATTTCCCCAAGAATTCTTCAAATTCTCCCACTTTTCATAGTGAAGAATTGGTGGCCTAATGTCTAGGACTCATTCTCAGCATTTGCTAAGCCATTATGTATTACCTTAGCCATCTATCCCAGAACCAATGCTGGAGAGAAGTCCAAGGACCAGGTCTCTGTGAAGAACATGGTGTGACGCAGTCTCCATGTTTTTCCTCCACTGGCTTGCTTGGTGAAAGAGCCTGCCATGGGGAATGTCCACCCCATCTTGGTGAATGTCCACCTGTGATGGCCATGTAGACACAACTGTACAGTGCATGGAAACACTGGGATCACTTTGCACTCCAAGCAACTGTTTCCACAGCCAAAATAGCCGATATTGATAAAGTCAGTTGCTTTTTTTTTTTCCAATTGTATCATTTTGCTGCATGTCAGATTCGTTGAGGCAAAAGAGTCATTTTCCATTATACATAACCAACTAAGATAGTTATTCCTAAAGTAGAGGGAACAATATCATTCTTTTGAACTTTTATTCTAAGATAAACCATTTTAAAATTTAGCTTAGCAGAACAACTTCCAAGCTATGTCTTAGGAGACTATATTATAGCAGAGCCTCAAAGTATCTTAGCCAATGAGTCCTGAAATACATGAAACCATCTTTTTAAAAAAAAATTTTTGAACTTTCTTCCACTTAGATACACTGCTGCTTTTTGGAGATGTAAAACCTGCACAGCCAAGCATGCATTCATTAGTGTGCTTTGTAATTCTGTTGTTCAGATATTTAATATTTAGAGTTGCAAATGAGTCAAGCAACCATTTAAACTAATCAGTTCTTTTAATGCTATGAAAATAACCAATTCATTTCATCTTAGTTTAAGTCTCTGGTTTTGTTTTTTTTTTTCCTTTTTTACCGCTGTCATTTTTTGTGCTTGTTTTTTTTTTTTTCCCTAGTGAGGGTTGTCGGCGAGAAAATACAATGAAGAATGTTGGATGTCGCAAGTATGCATTTAATTCCCTGCAGCTGAAGGCTTTCCCAAGGCATTACAGGCCTCCAGAAGGAACTTATGGAAAAGTTGAAACATAAACATAATGTGTCCTCTAATTAGCTGTTATACAATACATGTGGGTACACTCTAGTTGAATTCATGAAGACCAGAAATTTTTTTTTTAACATTTTACCCTAGATTCTATTGAGCATGTTATCTTACTGCAATTGGAATCTGTAGGAAAGAACGTTTTGGCGCATTAGTTTATGTAGTGATGACTGTCCCTTTAAATAGCCTTTGGTCCTGTGTGAGCTACACAAATACCATGAAATCGTTCCCTGTGTTCAACAACTAGGTATATCCAGGATGCTAAAGGACTTTTTATAAATGGCCACTTAGGTAGCTGTTTCACATAGCAACCTTTTCTATTGAGTTGATTTAAGGTTGAGTTTTTCATAATACTGCACTTAAAAAAATTGGAAACTCAATAAAGTAATTGGACCTGAGGCAACCCTGTACACATTGATGGAATCAGGCAAAATCAATTTGTAACTTCAGGAAAATAAATTAGCCCTAACACCAATCCATGGAGCAAAAGGAAGCGGCCAGGATGATTTGGCCTTTGTGTGATGCATGAAGTCAATACGTCATTATGAGAGCTTTGCTAGGTCTCAAAAACACTGAAGATTTAGGTATTTCTTATGTGATTGTACTTTATTAGAAGGTGACTGCCAACCAACCATACCACATAACTGAAATTCCATACTTTATTTCAATAGCTGTGTGTTTTGGCGAGTCATTCTTGTAATTAGCCTTGCAGGTCAAAAACCACCCCCAACAACAAAATATATCAAATGTTTCTTCTCTCTTCTCCTCTCATCCTTGTACTCATTGCTTTTAAGCATCTTGTCAACAAGTTAGGATTCCACCTTCTAAAGCATACACAAAGCTCCCCTTGGACTCAACTGAAGTGCTATGCATCCACTACCAAAAAGAGGCATTTTTACATGACTGCCAGATCGGCATTTTGAAGTGCATACTTACAATTTCATGAAGCAAATATTGTCAATATTTGAATGAAGGAAATCCTAAATATCTCTAGAGCTAACCTTCAGGGGTTTGCTTATTCTTTCACCTGTTTACTTAATTTATTGCTTTTTTTTTTTAAGAATAAACTATGACCATATTTCAGTGTCTTTGAAATGCCTTGTTATCCAGTTCATGGGAATTCCTAATATATTTTCCCCTTTTGCCTGTTCTGTTATGTGAGGTACTATTGAGCTAATTGGGTCTATGTCCTTCTGATTTTCAAACTGATTTTTGTTCCCTCAAAGACTTGGGAATTGCGATTTATCCTCTAATCATAGTAAAACATTTCACGACTTCTTAAAATCATAAGACTTTACTTTTCCTACTCCATATTTCAAGGCACATTGAAAATTGGAAGCTGAAGACCTGATTATTTATTTTCCATAAGGAAATAATGAATATGATATGCATTTCACAGAGTTTTGGTTTTTGTTTGTTTGGGAATGCTTGTGTGAGTGTGTTTCATCAGTTCTGTTAATCATGGTTGTCTTAGAGATGTTCTTTGGGTAAATTATTCTTAAAAATACATTGAAACTTTTGGTCCATTCTTACATTACCTAAACTTGGTGTGTATAAATTATTCCATATTACTTAAAAGGATATTAAAATGTACATGTACGTTTTACTTGAGCCTTTTAATATAGCTAAAGAATAAAATCATGAAAAGTTCATTGATTTGAAATTACCCATGTCTAAAATCTTAGGAAATATATTTACTTCTGCCTTTCTTTTCTCCAAAAATTTCTCTTTAAAATATATGACTGTGTTTTATTTGTACTGTATGCTTATTTACACGAATAAAGGCAATAGAATTATTCAAATATATGTATATATGTCACATATATACATATGCAGAATTGATCACTTGGCAGAGTTGTTTGGCTCCTGCTAGCAATGGGTAGTTTCAAGGTAGCTACCAGTATTGAAGAGGGAGCCTTTGCGTACCAGCTGTACTTTAGAAATACTTCTTAGGACTGTTGGTTTCAGCAGTGGTAAAGACATTTGTGTGTCTTTTCTGTGATAGGATGCCCACGGCAAGGCTTACAGTTGTAGTAAAATCTTTGTTGCCACCCACTCTATTCCCATTTACATGTTTAGCTACATTCAAATACAAATGAGATTTCAGTAAGGCTGATTTACCTTTTGACCCTATAGCACTCCATGACGTTTTTTTTTTTAGTATTCATTCAGATTTTGTAGTTTCAGCCTTTTCTCTCTTCTCATTCTTATATTCTCTTGCCAGGTTTTTGTTATATACTTCAATCATATATTTGTAATTAAAAAATCTTGTATGTATTATTTCAAAACTTTTTTGTGTCTGAAGATGTTTAACATTTGAGTCTCTTATAGTGCTGCTTCACATAAATAAATTACAATGTGTGATTTTGTCCCTAGCTCCCTTTCTGTAATAGTTTTCTTGAATTCTTCAGGCATGCTCAGAGTTCACCAATTGAAATGGTGGGACCTCAGCCTGGAAATCTTGGTCATTGGAAATATTCAGGTTTCATTGTTCTGTGTGAAGAACACTCTTGCTCAGCTGGGTTTTTTTGGGGTTTTTTTTTGCACATATCACGGCATCACGTGCATGTTTACAGGTTTGGATAGTGATCATATTGAACAATAAAAATCAAGTTTGTCATTAAAAAATTTTTTTAACTCTGTAGAGGAAACTTCCCATGAAGTACTTTTGAGTTGCACAAGGAAGGCTGTTTTATAAGCGTCTTGTAAAATGGGAGTCCTGTCTACTATCTTTTCAAGTACACTTTTTTTTAATGTCATGAAACATACTGAGGGATAAAATTGTTGCCAGGTATGTTATGTGTGTGTTCTGTGAAAGCACCCACAGCACAGTTGCCTTTTGTTTCATTTATAAATGTAAAAATATTGTATAATATGACAGTTTGTCCCTACACAATTGTATTTGCCAAGCTTTGTGCATTGAAATATTTTTATTTATTTCTTTTGGGCAGTATTAATATATTATAAATCTATGGTTACGGTTTTATATATTCTTAGATCATTCAAGCCATGTATGCTGTAAATGTGCTAGTCTTTAGAATGAAAAAATATTAATAAAGAACTGACAGTACTAAACTGTGACTTTTTTCTTTAAATTCATAAGCACTGGCCTGGGAGTCAGGAGACCAGGATGTTCTAATCCTGGCTCTGCTACTAATGCGTATAACCTTGGGTAACTCATTGAACCTCTGTAGGCCTCAACTAGTTTTTATTAAGCACTCGTTTGTGTGTAGAGCACTATGCTGAACCCCAGGGGAGATATAAAGATTAAATAAATAAGACATAATTCCTATGCTTAAGGAGTTAAGTCTAGTAACAGAATTGAACAAGATGATCTCTAAGGCCCCTGGTCCAGCCTGAGCTTCTACAACTAAGATTTGAATACATTAAAAGGAATGAATGATTGGAGGAGTCAGCATTTGATAAGCCCATATGGTTGAATCCCAGCATCTTTGCAATTGTTCTTTTTTCCCATACATTGATGCTTCTTCCTTTGCCAATAAGTAGGAATTACAGAAACTTTCCCTTTTATGTTCCCTCTATGTCCTGTAAAACAAGCAATTTCAGTTTTTTGAGGATAGGTCAACTGAATGGAATAAGAGAAGGGAGGGCAGATTGAGGGAAGGGATATTCAGAAATATCCCAAAATATTCCAAAATACTTGGATCCACTTAGTGTTTGGTGAAAAGGACATTTTACTCAGTGGTGTGCTAACAGCTTAAGAGACCTGTTTCTTGCTAAGGAGAAAAGCACCATTAAATCATCAGCGTCATGATTCCATTTGCCTTTAAAGCAGTGAGGTTTTCAGAGAAATGGGACAAGAGGAGTAGTTTACCTCTTACTCCATCTTTTTCTCCTCTTGAGATTGTTGTTATTCTTATCCTATAAGCATGTAAGACCAATGAATCTCTGGAGCATTTTTTTATATGATTATAAATTGTTTTAATTTCTTCATCAGAAAACTGCCTATTCATAGCCTTTGACCATTTATCAATTGGGGAATGACTCCTGTTATTATAGATTTGACAGAGTTCTTTATATATTTGAGATATGAGACCTTTATCTGAGAAACTGTAAAAATTTTTATTAGATTAGAGAAATCCAAATTAAAACATTCTTGAGATATCATTTTACACCTATCAGATTGACTAAAATGATTGAAGGGGAAAGCAACAAATGTTGGAGGGGATGTGGGAAAATTGGATGCTAATTCACCACTGGTGGAACTGTGAACTGATCCAACTGTTTTGAAGAGCAATCTGGAATTATGCCCAAAGAGTTATTAAACTGCTTATATCCTTTGATTCAGTAATACCACTACTAGGTTTTTTTCCAAAAATGATTAGGGAAAAAGGAAAAGAACTGTTGTATTCTAAAATATTTATATCTCTTTGAGGTGGCAAAGACCTGGGAATTGCAGAGATGCCCATCAACTGGGGAATGGCTGAACAAGTTGTGGTATATGATTATAATGAAATGCCATTGTGCTATAAGAAATCATGAACTTGATGATCTTAGATAAACATGGATAGACTTGCATGAAATAATAAAGAGTGAAATGAGCAGAACCAAGAGAATGTTGTATACAGTAACAGCAATATTGTTCTAAGAACAACTTTGAGCAAATAAGTCATTTTTACTATTATAAATAATCAAACGAACTACAAAGGACCTATGAAGGAAGACATCTGCATCCAGAGAAAGAATTGATAAATAGAAGTATGTATAGAATTATTTTACACACACACATGCGTGCGTGTGTGTGTGTATATGTGTGTCTAATGGTAGCCATCTCTAGGGTGTGGGAGGAAAGGGAAGAAAAAAGGGGGGGAAGTTACATGATAACTTTATTATATATTTAAAAGGAATAACAAGTTGTACATAATAGATGTGAAGTTTTATGTGTAGTCATTTTTTCTATTCTGCTGTGTTATGGAAATGCTTATTTTATTTCTTAAGTTCAGAATAAAATTAATAAAAATTTAAAAATATTATGATGTAGTTAAAGTATTATCATTAATCCAAAACAAAAAGAAAATATCCATTCCATGTATCAATATACATTTATAAAGAAGGGCATGCTGAGGGAAATATAGTTAGTCTTTCACAACATGACTATTATGGAAGTGTTTTGCATGACTACACATGTATAGCTGTATTGAGTTGCTTGCCTTCTCAATGAGGGTGGGTGGGGTGGGAGGAAGGGAGAGAATTTGGAACTCAAATTTTTAAAAAACGAATGTTAAAAATTGTTTTTACACGCAACTGGGAAATAAGATATACAGGCAATGAAATATAGAGATCAATCCAGGCAAATTGAAGGGGAATGGAATAAGAGAAGGGAGGGCAGATTGAGGGAAGGGATATTCAGAAAGCATGCCATCTTGGGGTGGGGGGGAGGGGAGAGACGGGGAGAACATTTGGAACTCAAAATCTTGTGGAAGTGAATGTTGAAAACTAAAAATAAATTAATTTAAAAAAAGACATGCTGCTAACACTACCACCAACAAAAAAGACTAGTGAATCTTTCTAGTAGGTACCTTCTCTCCCACACTTTCCCTCCTTTCTTAGGCTCCCTGCCTTTCCCTCCCTTCTATTTTTTCTTTTACTCTGAGAGACAGTTTATGATAGTGGAAAGAACATTAAACATGGAGTTGAGAGACCTGGTTTTTAAATCCTAACTCGTGTACATTACCAGTTGTGTGACTATGGACAAGTAAGTCATTTAATGCCTCAAAACCTTAGTTTCCTCATCTCTAAAGTTTGAAACACTGGTTGGATTACTTAATAAGATTATTGTGAGTGAAGTGCTTTGTACATCTGAAAGTGCCATTTGAGCATTATCTATCATGTGAATCCAGTTCTGAGCTATGTAGACGTAAGCTTAGGCCTCATGGTCCTCATATTTGCCAAATTAAAAGTTTTCTTCCCTGTGTTGAAAAGGGAGAGATGTGACAGTATTTAATCTTTTCATTGATTAGAAAGAAAAAAAAACCACCCATTCAAATGAATTTATGCATGGTTCAGTCGTTTTTCAGTCCTGTCCAGCTCTTCATGACTTCATATGGTGTTTTCTTGACAAAGATACTGGAGTGGTTTGCCATTTCCTTCTTCAGCTCATTTTATAGATGAGTAATTGCTTTTAAGCAATTAAGCATGTCTCCGCCTACAGGACATGAAAATGAGCAGGGAAATGAAAATTACAGTAAAAACCATAGCTATGGATTCCAGATGTACAGTGCTAATTATGTTGGCCTTGTAGGCAGTTAAAGGTACCACAAAGATGTTTTGGCAAAATAGGGATTGATAGGGACAGGATATTCTCGTTACTTGGGGCTCCTCCCTGTTAGGGGAGGAGACATTGAATTTAACATCGATGTAAAAGTACCATAAGCCACTTGTCTTTCTAAGTAAAATAGATATATCATGCTTCTCGTTAGTAGAAACCTTTTAGACTCCAGATGTCCCAGTGATAAGGTTTCTATGTTTGATACTGGATTCTAAGGACAAAAGAAACCTTTCCACACTATGCTTCCTTATTCCTATGTTTATAGGAAGAGGAGAGAGAAAACATCACCTTTCTCCGGCAAGTGATGGTGAGTGTGTGTAACTCCTTTTGGGCTAGAAGAAATAAGAAAAAATCCTATGTAAAAATTAAGGGCTCAGTCCTCACCTCAAAAGACTTCAACAATTATGCTATCATCAAAAGCTAGGTTAGCCTGGAGTCCATGAGAGGACTGTAGGCTCACTAGGTTACTGACTCCCCATTCCTGAAACACCCATGCAAACTCATCTGGGGTAAGTCACATCTGAGATGGAAAAATCATTGAGATCCAGGATGAAAAATGCAACCTGCTTCCATAAAGAGAACTAACAAGCCCTGTGTGCAGATTGAAGCATAATCTTTTTCTTTATTTATTTTTCTTAGTTTATTTTTCCTCCAACATGGCTAATATAGAAATGTTTTACATAATTTCATAGATAGAATGGGTATCATTTCTTGCTTTCTCAATGGGTGGGGTGGGGTGGGGTGGGGGAAGGATAGAATTTGGAACTGAAAATAAAAATAAAGAAATTTTTAAAAGATAAACCACTGGGGAAGGGTTGCAAAGAACCCTAAAGATACCTCTCATTCTCATTGCAAAAAAGAAAGATAAAAGAAAAGCTATAGGAAAGCCACAGAGGTTAAAAAATGGATGCTATCACCTCAAGAACAGGTGGAGTAGAATAAGTAGGTTCTTATGTGAATGGTAGTGAGGAGTATTAAAGCAGGAGAATAATCTTGTTTTATAAAGTACTCTCTACCTAAAAGGTATAGAATGCTGTTATCTCAAATGCATTTAATTATACTCCAACTTGTACTGTTGTAGTGATTAGCATGTTCCACCCTCCCCCCCACCATACTCTTGCAAACATGATTGTAAACTCCCTGGAGACAAGAGAACCTTTATATCCTCATGCCTTAAACACAATTATTTAAATAGATTTTTTAAAAATTATGTTTTTATTGATAATCTTGTTTCTTAAATTAACCTACCTATCCCAAGTATCCCTCCTACTACCCCTCCCAGAGAGCCATCCCATATAACAAACAGTATTTTTTTAGAAAGGAAAAAAAAAAACATCGCTACTGATCAATACACAGAAAAAAATCCAAAAACATGTATGATGTGTAACACCTGTGGACCTCCCACCTCCACGAAGGGTTGGGTTGGGGCTTTTTCTCCTATCTCTTCATCTGAGTCCTGCTTGATCTTTTTAATTTTGTTACATTTACTTCTTACTTTCCGTTTACATTGTTGTAGTTATGTATATTATTTTCTTGGTTCGTGGCTCTGGATCAGTTCATATAAATCTTTCTGTGTTTCACTCTGTGTTCATCTCACATCATTTCTTACAGCACAGTAATATTCCATTACATTCATGTAACCCCACTTTGTCTAGCCGTTCCCCAATTGATGGGCATCTACTTTGTTTCCACTTCTTAGCTATAACAAAACTTGCTGCTTAATATTTTGGAGTATAAGGGGTCTTTATTCTTATCAGTGACTTCCTTGCAGTATAAGCCTAGTAAGGAAGTCTAGTTCAAAGTATAGACATTTTAGTCACTATTTGCGTAATTCCAAAATGCTAAACTGTATTTTATTACTTCATTCAGTGTCTCATGTTTTAAGAGGCATGGGTAGTAGGCATTTATTATTATCATTGTGAATTTAAGCAACCTCATTAGGAAATTAATGAGCAGTAAGAATTTTGCAAAGGTACACTTTTACATCTTTTTAATCAATATATGTACTTCGTACTATTTAATGTATTTTTTCACTATTTCATATACACATTTTCAGTATACATACTTAGTAATAAAAGTGTTACATAATGTATATTAGCAGGAATGTATAGTATGTGCCATGTCCCTATTATTAAACATTTATATTGTTTCTAATTTCTAAGTGTTATAAAGAGGACTAATATTCATCTGTTCCTATATTACTCCATTCTTCCTGTTCCTTTCTTTTCACTCCTCCTTTAGGGTATTTCCCAGAAAGGAAAGAGGCAGTTCAGGGAATCAACTAGAGATCTGGTCTTGGAGTCAGGAAGACCCAGGGTAAAATCTAGCCTCAGACATATTGGTTGTGTGACCCTGAGTAAGTCACTTAATGTCCCATTGCTCCAGATAAGAGGTGTCCTATAATTAGCATGAACAAGATTAAAATTTAATTGGGAAATATTTAGCAAAATAAAAATATAAATAAAACATAGATTATGTTACATTTTAAAATAAAGTCAGAATGTAGCAGGGACTCTATGTATGGATTAGTGGCCTCTTTTATTTGAGTTAGAATCCAGGCAACTTTCTAAAACAATAAGTTACTGACCTGCATTAATAGAAGGGTTTTCCTCACTGGAATTCACTACACCAATGAAATTGAAATTCTAGACCAAAAGATGATATTCCCCTCCAAATGGGAAAAATAAACTGGACCAGCAGCTTCATAGCTCTCATTCCATGTTACTGGATTGCTCTCCAGAAAGCTAAAGGCCAATTAACATTGCCACCAGTAGAATATACTTGTTTTCCTGCTTTGGGGTTTCATAATTGTTTTTGCCAGTTTAACAAACAAAAGCTTTCCAAATTTTCTTACTTTAATTTGTTTGTAATTAATTGCTAAGTAGGACTGCATTTTTGCTATGTTGACATTTTTACTATCTTTTATTTCTTCATATAAGTAAACTCTGTGCCAATCTGGTTTATGTTCTCATTGCTGCTAACTACAGAGAAAAATTAAGCAGCAGTCTAAGGGAAAACTTTTTTTAATGTTTGAAACCACCATACTGCTTCTTTTTTCCATCATAGATCAGGGAAAGGAAATAGAAAGATTTTTAATTTTACAAACTATTGCATATGGATGTTTGCTGAGTTTCTCCTCCCATTTTTAGCTGCAAAGAACAAGAAGAAAGACTCGGAGGGAAAAGCAGAACAGATTGCAGGATCTGTGAAAGTTGTCAAGCATAAAATATGCTAGAAAGTGTTCACAGCTCTCCTTGTTAGCAAGGTAGAAATAACAGGACTTATCAACTGATTGGATATCGGGGATGGGGGTAGTAAGAGAGTGAGGAGTCTAAGATGACACCTAGGTTGTAGGCCTGGGTGATTAGAAGAATGGTGGTAACCTTGATAGTAACTGGGAAGTTAGGAAGATGGGACTTCTTGGAGGGGAAAGATAATGAGTCCAGTTTTGGACATGTTGAATTTAGGATGTGTGTGAGACATCTAGTTCGAGATGTCCAATGGGCAATTGGAGACACAAGAGGTTAGTTGAAATAGATTTGAGAATCTTCTGCATAGAGGTGATAGTTGCAACTATGGGAGCCAATGAGCTCACCACATAAAATAGTGTAGAGAGCCCAGGGGAGTCTTGGGAGACGCCCAGCGTTAGTTGAGATGACCTGGATGAAGATCCAGCAAAGGAGACCAGGAAGTTCCTGAAGTAGTCAGAGAGACACCACATATAGGAGGCTTTTAAATAGTTATCCTGAAAGTTCTTTCACACAACTGAAATATTGATATAATATTGACTCCTGGTTAATGGAAATTTTGTTGAATGTTGAATTAGATTCTGATTTTGATTAAAAAAAAAAGAAATTTGACTTAATGGTCTTATAATATGTATGAACCCCACTACAATGCTGTAAACCCAAAGTGTCCAACATGTGGACTATGAACCAGAAGTAGTACAACCTGATCCTGTCACTTTTTAAGCAGGAAAAAAAAAAAAGTTAATTAGATAGCATTCATGAGGCCACTAGGGTCTATCCACATGAAATTTCTGCTTTTGTGGCCAAACTCCTCTGGCAATGTTTAGATTCATCTGGCTCTGAAAATAGATTTTCTTTCATGAAACTACAGAAATCAAAGCCGTGGCACAATAAGAAGTCATTATTGAGAACTGTATTCTCAATTAGTTTGAGAATTAGTTCATTAGTTTGATATCAAATACCAATATTCTTCCTGACTTGATCAAAATTGATCATTGTTGAACACTAGGCATACACATTAATAATCTTGATCAAACTGTTTTTGGACTTTCTTGTCCATATTTTTAAAATTAATAATTTTGAATTACTAATAGACCATATAGATCATCATTATCATCTTTTAAAATGTTACCTATTTTGTGATGGCAAAGAATTCGAAATTGAGAGGATGCCCATCAGTTGGGGAATGGCTGAACAAGTTATGGCATATGAATGTAATTGAATACTATTGTTCCATAAGAAATGATGAGCAGGCGGATTTCAGAACAACCTGAAAGACTTGCATGAACTGATGCTGAGTGAAGTGAGCAGAACCAGGAGAACATTGTACACAGTAACAGCAACATTGTGGGATGACCAACTTTGATAGACTTAGCTCTTCTCAGCAATGCAATGATCTAAGACAACTCCAAAAGGCTCATGATGGAAAATGCTATCCATACCCAGAGAAAGAACTATGGAGTCTGAATGCAGATCGAAGCATACTTTTCACTTTTTTTGTTTGTTTTTCTTTCTCATGGTTTTTCCCTTTTGTTCTGATTCTTCTTTCACAACATGATGTGGAAATATGTTTAATATGATTCTACTTGTAAAGCCTGTATCAGATTGCTTGTCATCTTCAGGAGGGGGGAGTAGAGGGAGGGGGAATATTTAGAACTCAAAATCTTTTAAAAGTGAGTGTTGAAAACTAAAAATAAATTAATCTTAAAAAAAGTTGCCTAAAAGCACCAATTTCGCCATGTGGCTCCTTACTGAAAAAAATGGACATCCTTGCAGTTTAAGTGAAAGTGAACAGATTTATACAATTCATCAAACTTGTAATAATAGTGAATAAAATGGATAATAGGGTAGAAGCACTGTTGTCAAATTAATTCATTATAAAAATATTGGTGCTGCACTGTTCCTGTGATTTCACAGTAACAATAACAAAGATATACACTGAAACAGATTTTGATATTCTGAAGTATGAGAAACATTATTTATTGTATTACTACAGATTCAAAATAGAACATAAACTGAAAGAAACATTATTGAAATTAAAATAAAACCCTACTTCCCCAACATCCCTCCCCAAAATGAATGCAGTATTTTAGAGGTATATAGCCAGAATTACAACAAATAGATCTTGTGATGTTCATCATTATCTTTCATTAAAGATAGAACTTATTTCAAACTGTCTATCAGAAGTGCCTTGAATTTTTCTGCATTGCATTCCATCATGATTGAAACTTTGTTTTTCTTCGGAAGCTTATCATTAATATCCAAAACCATCATTCCTCGGGCGTGGAAGCCTCCCAGTTCCACAGTTACAGCACAATCTATTGCTTTAGTGATAAAGTCCTCATCAATGGCAGCTGCTATGGCAAAGCAATCAGAAGGCACATAGCCTGGTGTCCAGAACAGTGTTGTGGACTTCTGTACACGTTTCTTCAAATAGGTCACAGTATAAGCATTGATTTCTTTCAAAAATCTAGCTTTTTTACTATTTTGTGAAGTCCATTGCTCATAAAATTCCTAGAGAACCAGAAGAGAAGATGCTATAAATATATATTATGCATGTATTTAAATATATATGTGTGTTTATATGATTTATCTAGCTTTTTCTTACACAATTTTTCTTCTTGTTTAAGAAATGTAATATTTATTCCAAACATTTGTAGATATTTGTTTGAGAACTGTAAAGTAGTATTCATAAACTTGACTTTAAAAAAACTTTCTGATAGTAACTTTTTATATTTCCTTTTTCTGCTTAGACTAGTGCTATGATGGCTAAATTCAATCTGCAATCAAAAAATCTATGATATCAAAATCCCCCAGACTAGCACTTCTGTATGATTCTGCTGGCAAAGAAAAAAATGTCATTTAGGAATAACAACAATCTTGTCACTTTTTGTTGTTGTAATACAGTCATTTCAGTTGTGTCTGACTCTTCATGAGCCCACTTGGGGTTTTCTTGGCAAAAATACTGGAGTGGTTTGTCATTTTCTTCTTCAGCTCATTTTACAGATGAGGAAACTGAGGCAAATGGGGCTAAGTGACTTGCCCAGGATCATACAGCTTGTGTCTGGGACCACATTTGAACTTAGGTCTTCCTGACTCCAAGACTAGTGCTCTAGCCACTGTTCCACCTAGCTGCCCCAAGTCTTAGACATAAAGCTTTCATTTGTATCATGGGTCTCAAAGTATTCTATTTAGGAATAAGAGGATTAAAATGATAGTAGCAAAATGTAAGTTTTTTTACGTGTGACAACCATAGTGTTCTCCTGTTAGATAATAGAGGGGGGAAATGGCCTAAAACAAACTCAAGCCAGGAAAAAAATAAGTTCAGACATTCAAAAAAAACCTAACAGGACAAATAAAGATAGAAAGGAAAGGATCCTGGGAAGAGAAAGAAGAGTATAAATAAAAAGGGAAATAGGATTTTTCCAGGTCTTTTTCCTTAGCTAACCCTATACTTAACTATATCTCTCCTTTTACCTCCAGTGAATTACCATGGGGATCAATCTGTTAATAATTTTTTTTTAAAAGTAGCATCTTGGGGCAGCTAGGTGGCGCAATGGATAGAGCTCTGGCCTTGGAGTGAGAAGGACCTGAGTTCAAATCTATCCTCAGACACTTGACACTTACTAGCTGTGTGACCCTTGGCAAGTCACTTAACCCCGATTGCCTCATCAAAAAAAAAAAGGAGCAGCTTATTTGGCTTAAGGAGGGAATACTATGCACACTCAATTGGGATGGAAATCTATCTCACCCTACAGGAAAATATTGGGGAAGGGGATGGGGGGGATGATAAAGAGGAGGGCAGATTGGGGGAGGGGGTAATCAGAAGCAAACACTTCTGAGGAGGGACAGGGTCAAAAGAGAGAATGGAATCAATTGGGGGGCAGGATAGGATGAAGGGAAGTATAGTTAGTTTTCCACAACATAACTACTATGGAAGTGTTTTGCATGACTACATATATATAACCTGTATTGAGTTGCTTGCCTTCTTAATGAGGGTGGATGGGGAGGGAGGAAGGGAGAAAATTTGAAACACAAAGTTTTAAAAACAAATGTTAAAAATTGTTTTCACATACAACTGGGAAATAAGATATACAGGCAATGGGGTATAGAAAGCTATCCTGCCCTACAGGAAAATATAAGGAGAAGGGGAGAAGAGAAGGGAGGGATAGAAGAGAGAGCAGATTAAGGGAAGGGATATTCAGAATGCACGCCATCTTGGGGTGGGGAGAGGGACGAGATGGGGAGAAAATTGGAACTCAAAATCTTGTGGAAGTGAATGTTGAAAACTAAAAATAAATTAACAGCAACAAAAAAAAAGTAGCATCTTACCCAAGGCAATGTATACATGCATACAAATTCCCAAGTCGCAATGTAAGTAGGGCAGATGTACTCATTTAAGACAATGTAAGCTGCTTCTGGATCTGCTGCAAAATTGAATTCTGAACATACATCCGTATTCCCTCTAGCTAAAAAAAATTAAAATCTACAGTATAAATTATAATTTTTATAATTTCCTTTTCATCTACATAATTGTTCTCTCAACATTTAAAATGCAATCAGTTAACTCAATGTATTTCACAATCCATAGAATAAAAGATCAATAGATATTTAAAAATACAGTTAGGTAAATATGCTGCTAAGTTCATTTCCCCTTCATTGTCCAACCCCCACCCCTACCCTCTCTGCTTTTTCTGGGATGTAAAAACTAACATGTTAACACCTTGCACTATTTTAGAAACCTTAAGCTATTTTAAAAAATAGAAATCTTATGTCCATTACTTTGGTGGATAGCAATATGATGAGGACTCTAAAAATATTCATTGGCAATTAAAAATCTTAATTCACAGTCCACTTTCTAGGAAGTTCTCCTCATTTAATCCCACCCATTCTTCACCTGCCAACAGGATACCTGATTCAATCCCTTCATTCTCAATAATCTGTATGGTTTGTTTATTTGAAAATATTTTTGAGTTTAATGCATTTGTGTGTTTTGTCTTCCTTGTTCAACGCTGTATTTCAGTAACTATTTCTATTCCTTAATAATAAAAATAGCTAGCATTAACATAAGGCCTCTAGGTGGCACAGTGGATGGAATGCTGGGACTGGAGTCAGGAAAACCTGACTCAAATGTGACCTCAGATACTTACTAGCTGTGTGACCCTGGGCAAGTCACTTAACCCTGTTTGCCTCAGTTTCATCATCTGTAAAATAAGCTGGAAAAGGAAATGGCAAGCCATTTACTCAAGCATCTTTGCCAAGAAAACCCAAGAGGGGATCATGAAGAATCAGACACGTCTGAACAAGAAAAATCATTTATGTAGCACTTAGCACAGTGCCTGGCAATGATAGTTGATTGACTAATAAAGTACTTTAAATTTTGCAAAGCACTTTACAAATGTTATTTTAATTCTTACAACTACTTTGGGAGGTTGGTGCTATCATTATCTCTATTTTATAGATGAGTATACTGAGCCTGAGAGAAGTTAAGTGACTTACTCAGGGTCACACACTAATAAGTGTCAGAGGCTAGATTTGAATTCAGATCTTCCTGATTCTAAGTCCCTCTCCTGATGCTTACCTGCCTCTGTAATAAATGCACTTGAGTACCTATTACTTTACTATGTACTCTTTGTGTATTCCATTAATAATTGTTGACAACTGGAAGACAATAATACTTGAATGTACTTACAATTCATATTTCCTCCCATTATGAACAGATTTTTAATTTTCTTTGGAAAGCTTGGGTCTATTTTCACAGCCAGAGCTAGATTGGTCAAAGGGGCAGTGGCTACCAGAGTTACCTACAAAAAAAACTGATGGTGATTAAAAAAAAAAGCAAGAAAATGAACAAACAAGACAGAGTGCCCAATTATACTTTGAGGTATGATTGTTTTTGGCTAAAATTTCTACTTAAGAGACTTTTAAGATCTCTTCAAGGATTCAAGTAGTGATGACCTACTGGAATGAGGTAGGGGAAAAAAAACATCACATATATGATCCAAGATAGTGAGGGATAGAGGAAGAGCATGTACTGTGACATGACCACCTGGCCAGGTAGTTGACTAATCATTCTGATCATTGCAGGCACTGCATGTTCTTCTTGGATTTTGTCCAGTCCTGGAGCATCTGGGTCAGGAATATCGCCCAAGCCATCTTTTCCAAAATAACTATCACTTTTCATATTATTAAGGAATGGGGAAGAAGCACCTTGATAAACTGGAATCTGAAATTAATGGAAAATAAAAACAACAATAATGATAACAATAACAGGATAGTGGTCACAATTCCTAAACTGTTAATAACAAATAATAGTCATCAAGCAGTATCCTGGTTCCCTTATAACTTATAACTCAAATGTGATGCATGGTACTTTGTATCTCATGTGTTTATCAAATTCTAATTTGTGTTCTTGCCTTGGAATCTCCCCTTGGTAGATGATAATTCCTTCAAGGCAGCAGCTCCTGTGTCTAATTCATTTTTCTATCCCATAACACCTGGTACAGTATCTTGCATGAAGTAGGCATTTCTCCTTTGGAATTGAGAAGAATTGCTTAAATTGGGTATTAGTTATTGGAGTAGATAAGTCTCAAAACCAATTGGTTTGCATGTCACTTGGTTCAACACTGCTCCCTTCTCCACTCCCAAATCTTCTAATTAATAAGGACAAAAAATGGACAAATTTCATCTCTACTCCCAAATCAGCTAATTGAAAAGCACAAAAAATGGACAAATGGGAGTTAGAATAAACTATAAATCTCAATTCAACAAAGAGATAATTAGCACCCAGATAATCTAAAGATTTTTTTTGGAGGGGGTATGAGGCAATTGGGGTTAAGTGACTTACCCAAAGTCACACAGCTAGTAAATGTTATGTGTCTGAGGCCAGATTTGAACTCAGCTCCTCCTGACTCTAGCTGCCCCTGGGTTTTGATTTTTCACAGAGATTAACATGAACCTGAATTCTTAAGCATTTTTTAGATATCATCTAAATGAACAGAACTTTGATAAAGCATCGTTCGGGATGAAAACAGTCAACGCCGGAATTAGGATGTCTGTGGGAAGGCAGACACCCTCATACAGTAGGTATGGGAATTGGTCCAATCCTTCTGGAAAACAAATTGGAATTATGTGAGAAAACCCACTAAATTTAATTTCCTTTGCCAATGGTCACACCATTACTGGGTATAATCTGGGAATATATGTCCACAAAGAGATCAGAGGCAGAAAGAAAAGCACCATCTATTTCAAAAGAGACATAATAGCTGCATATGGTTACCAAAACAACAACAACCTGGAAACAAAGTTGGTACCCATTTGACTGGAGGAGTGGCTGAACAAATTGTGGCATATGAATGAAATGGAATATTACATTCTAGCAAATAATTTCAGAAATGACAAGAATTCAGAGAAACATAAGATTTTCATGACCTAATGCAGAGTGAAACAGAACAATATATACCATGACAGAAAAGAAGTTAAGAATGGGAGCATCTCTGCAGAAAATGGAGATCCCGAAACATGCCAGCTTCAGAAAACCAAAAGTGGTGAAAAGGCCCAGTGAATTATGTAAAATTTCATTATCTTAGGACTTCTGATGATTATATAATTTAAATTCTCCCTTTTTTAGAGCCAGATTTTATAAAAACACAGAATTTTGTTCTCCTCTGCCATTGGTGACCTTGGATACTGCCATTTCAGAAGAGTAGTAGAAATGGAAACACCCCTCCCAACTGTGCAAAAACAATTGAGTTAGGACTAGTTCTAGCAGACTAGGAATTTTGCAGAAGAGTTTATCTATGTAAAGAGAGATTCCACAAAAACTTTCAGAGCTTTGCCTAAACCCAGAATCATTTTATTTGTCCTTATGGGTTGTATAACAAACAGGTGTTAAACCATTGGGTGGCACCTATGGAGTCCCCTACAATGAATGAGCTGATTCCTAGACAGAACTCAATTTCAAATAAAAAGTGCTGCTTTGGCCTAGGTGAGTGATCAAATTCATGATTTGGGGAGCTCCCCATCCACCTGACCTGCTTTGCTATTGGGGTCTTGCCCTGCTGTGAGAAACTTAACCTTCCTCTCACTTATCTTTTCTATCAGTTTAATAAAATTCTTTTTCCTGCTAAATCATGGCTCTCATTACCATAGTGTTCCCCATGATCTGTGAACCTAGACCCTCTTCTCTCTTCTGGTCACAATGGTAAGTGGATATCTTCTCCAAAAAGGTAAGTAGCAAGTGGAGAGATGGGCCAGGAGCTGAGTCGGCTACAAGGGGCAAGGAAAGAGTCTTTAAAAAAACAAACAAAAAAGAACTGGGGAAATCTCAGCATGTTGAAGAAAAAGCTAAAATTGAGAGGGAATGATTGCTGGAGCAAAGTCCTGGAAAGGGTGCAAATAGAGGAGTTTGTGAGGGAAAGATAGGTGATGATGTTCAGAAACTATAAGGAATGGAGGAAGTGAGTTGAGAGAGCTTAAGTCAAATAACCTCAAATCTTTTTCGTGAAGTAGGGTTAGTTCAACTGTGGTGGGGCAAGGAGGGAGGTTGGGAGAGACTGGAACGAATCCATCTCACACAATTTGGATGGTAAATATGAAACTACACACAATCAGAAATCATGCCTACAAGACTACTGTGTGTAATCTATTAGAGAAAACCCATAGATAAAAAAAAATAGAGAGTTAATTCTTTTTGTGGTACCAAGTAAATGGAAACTCAGTGGGTACCCATCAATCAGGGAATGACTGAGCAAATCATGGCATGCGAATGTGATGGAATACTATTATGCTGTAAGAAATGAAGCAAGCGGTTCTAGAGAAACCAGGAGACTTGTGTAAAGAAGTGAGCAGGAGAACAACTTCAAAATTCTTAGGAACTCTGATCCACACAATGACCAATGACCAATCATGATTCAAGAGGGCTCATGATGAAACATGCTCCCCAACTCCTGACAGAGAAGTGTGATGGAGTTCAGGTGCAAATTGAGACAGGTTTTCTTTGGACATGGCCAGTTTGGAAATTTGTTTTGATTGACTTTGCACATTTGTTGTAAGTGTTTTGTTTTTCTTTTTCAGTGTGCATAGGGGAGATGAAAGGGAGCAAAGGTGGATTTTCAGTAAGTGAAAATTTTTTTTTTAATTATTAGGGATAAAGTTCAATCATTTGTAATACTTGCAAGGCAAATTCATTACCTGTAAGCTGTTACACTTCTGTAACACCCGAAGGACATTTTTACACACGTTTTCTACTGAAGTATTCCCAAAACAGCAAGTGATCCCCAGAACTTCCACATTGGGTGCTTCCAGAGCCATCATTAAGGCAACAGCATCATCCACTCCAGCATCCACATCAATCACCAGTAACTTCTTTTCCATTGCTGATATTTCTACCAAAATAAAATAGAGGCATAGGATAAATGTCAATGCAATGAAATCATTACATGTTTATGAAGAAAACGTCAGTGTTTGATGTTTTAATGACATATCTTATTTAAGTTTTAATGGAGAATGAATCTCATTTCAGACACTGTGATCCAGGCTAAATCATTTCTCCTTTCAGGGTCTCAGTTTCCTCATGTGTAAAATAAGGATAATAATACTTGCACTACTCATGTTACAGAGCTATTGTTAGGAAAGAGCTTTTCAAACCTTAAAAATATAATGTAAAAGGACAGCTAGTTGGTGCAGTAGGTAGAGCTCTGGCCTTGGAGTCAGGAAGACCTGAGTTCAAATCTGGCCTCAGATACTTGACACTTACTAGCTGTGTGACCTTGGCAAGTCACCTAACCCCAGTTGCCTCAGCAAAAAGCAATAATAACAACAATAATAATAATGTAAATGTGAGATGTAATAATTATTGCTATCTCATTCTACTTCTCTTTTTTTTTCCCATGGAGTTCAGATGGCAATGATCTAAAGACAAGCAACTATCTTCTTATCATTCTTTTATATTTCATATTGTGAAGGATGTTGTTCATATGGATAAGATGATAGTGTTTTATAATTGAAAATTATTAAGTTCACCTCTTTAGAATCACTGCAGGCATCTTCAGGACAATTTAGAAATTAGCATTATTATATTATTATTATTGGTATAAGGAGTACCTGCAATAATGCAAATTGAAACTCATCCACGCCTGCTTGTCCTGTGTAACTCTTGTCCATATCCTCCCAAAAGTTTGATACAGGAGGCCCCGACATGCTGGAGGCTTTCCTCATTTTTTTCTGACATTTTAAGGATGCTAGTGGAGTACTCAGACTATCCACCTGTTCTCCCCTACTTTCACCACAATACCAGCTTATTTTCTCTTTTTGTCATACTATTTTTCGATGACATCCTTTTCTCTCATTCTTCAAAGTCACAAAGTCACAAAGTTGCAGCCTGCTTACACCCACCATTCAGGGGAAGTGGTGTTTTAGGTCTCAATGCCATACAGCAACCCAGATGTAAAGTTTATATTGAAATGATGGGCCTTTGCCATTATCCATTATGAGAAGCTTGGAGGCCAGTGAAAGTGCTTCTCAGTTTGCTGAAAACAATCCAGCTTATTTTCTTCCTCCTTTTCAACTCTGGGCCCATCTCATTGTCAGTCTTTATTGTCTGTCCCAGTTATATGTACTATTAGACACGTTCTATGAAGGGTCCTCTTGAAATCTGAACACTAGATCTCCATCATTCATTTGGTCTTTCCTCTGTGCATGGGCAAGCCAAAGTCCTTTAAGTGATCACAGATCTCTTCTAGGAGGCTCTGCCAAGTCTTGGGATTTGATGTAATGTCATGTCATCAGTAAACAGAAGCACCTGCATGGCCTCAATCTGACTTGGATGGACCCTGTGCTGGTTCTCTTACATCATAGTAGTGAATACTTTTTTTTTTTGAGCATACAACTTCCTAGTTTATGCCTCAACTGATGTTTATTATCAAAGGGTCATTGAACAAGGTTATTCCTATTATTCTGTCTCCAAAGGAATCTTGAATGATTTTGATAAATGAATGGGAGACATTTTGTTGTAAAAGAGCCCATAAGGCTTTCCATAATCAACAAGTATTAAGCATAATAAGATATTATATTCTAGGGGGAAGCTAGGTGGCAAAGTGGATAGAGCACTAGCTCTGGAGTCAGGAGGATCTGAGTTCAAATCCGGCCTCAGACACATAACACTCATTAGCTGTGTGACTCTGGGTAAGTCACTTAACCCCAATTGCCTCACCAAAAAAAAAAAAATTATATTCTATACATCTTTTTTTTTTTTGCTGATATGGTGGTATATTTAGAGAATCCTAGAGAATCATAAAAAGTTACTTGAATTAAATAAATTTAGCAAAGTTACATGATGTAAAATAAACCCCTACAATCACTGACATCTCTATATATTACTAACAAAGCTTAACAGCAAGAGAGAGAAATTCCATTTAAAATTACTGTAGACATTACGAAATATTTGTAAGTTTACCTGCCAAAACACCAGGAACTATATGAACACAATTACACTTTTCACACAAATAAAGTCATATCTAAATAATCAGAAAAATATGGGAAAATATCATTTGCTCATGGGTAGGCAAAGCTAATATAATAAAGAATGACAATTCTACCTAAATTTACTTATTCAGTACCATACCAATCAAACTACCAAAAAACTACTTTATGGAGCTAGAAAAATTAAAAATTCATCAAGAATTTTTAAGTCATAAAGTCCAGAGTATCAAGGGAACTAATGAAAAGAAATGCCAAGGGAAGGTGGCCTAACTGTACCAGATCTTAAATTGTATTATAAAGCAGCAATCATCAGAACTACTTGGTATTGGCTAAGAAATAGAGTGGTGGATTAGTGGAATAGGTTAGGTATGCAAAACACAGTAGTCAATGACTATAGTAAACTACTGTCTGATAAATCCAAAGACCCCAGCTTCTGGGATAAGGACTCATTATTTAACAAAAACTGCTGGGAAGACTGGAAAAACAGATAGCAGAAACTGGGCACAGATCAACATCTTAGACCCTATACCAAGATAGGGTCAAAATGGGTACAGGATTTAGATATAAAGACTGATACTATAAGCAAACTAGGGGAGCAAGGAATATCTTACCTTTCAGATTTATGGAAAAGGGAAGAATTTATGACCAAACAAGAGGTAGAGAACATTATGAAATGCAAAATGGATTAATTTTGATTAAAACTTTCTATACAAAGTCAATGCAGCCATGATTAGGAGGGAAACAAAAAACTGGGAAAGATTTTTTGTGTCTGATAAAGGCCTCGTTTCTAAAATACAAATTATTATACAAGTCACTCCCCAATTGATAAATGGGGAAAGGATATGAACAGGCAGTTTTCAGAGGAAGAAACTAAAGATATCTATAGTCATATGAAAAAAATGTTCTAAATCACTATTGATTACAGAAATGCAAATCAAAACAACTGAGGTACATCACACCTATCCCACAGGTACAAAAATATATTTATAGCAGCTCTTTCTGTGCTAGCAAAGAACTGGAAATTGAGGGGATGCCCATCAATTGGGGAAATGGATGAACAAGTTGTGGTATGTGAATGTAATGGAATACTGTTGTGCTATAAGAAATGAGCAGGCAGACTTCAGAAAATCCTAGACTTACATGAACTGATGCTGAGTGAAAGCAGGAGAACATTGTACATAGTAACAACCAAATTGTGCTATGACTGACTTTAATAGATTCTTGCATTGCTGTAAAGAGCCAAGTCTAAGACCACTACAAAAGTCTCATGATGGAAAATGCTATACACACTCAGAGAAAGAACTATGGCATCCGAATGCAGATGGAAGCATACTATTTTCTCCTTTTCCTTTTTTTTTTCTTGCTTCATTCTGATGGTTCCTCCCATTAGTTCTAATTGTTCTTTAGATCATGACTAATGGGAAAATATGCTTACTATGAATGGGCAAGTAAAGCCTAGATCAGATTGCATGCCATCTTGGGTGGCAGAGAGAGGAAAGAAGGGGAGAAAATTTAAAACTCAAAAAATCTTATGGAAGTGAATGCTGAAAACTAAAAATAAGTTTAAAAAAAAAATCACAAGTCCAATTATCTCTTCTAAAGAATCAAAAGATAAGAGACCTCAGAAACCATCTAACCCAATTCTGGTTTTTTCTTTTTATATATATATAGATAGATAGATAGATAGAAAGAAAATGGAGAATTCAGAGAGTGGTTTGCCTATGAGGACAAAAGGAATAAATAATAGAACTTGGATTTGAAACCCAATGTTGGGATGCCAAACCTGGAGCTCTTCATGCTGCCTCCACTTTGCAGGACTCCTCCCCTCCCCCCCCAAAAGCCCCACACCAATTACTGTCTGAGACTCCCTTCCCTGAGCCCTGTCCCATCTAAAAACAAAGTCTGATATCACAGTAACTTCACCCTCCCCAACCATTTACAGAAGACAAAGGCAACGCACCTTTGATACATCCAAGGTTTACTTCTCTTTAAGAGGAATTAAGGCAGATCTGTACAACTTGGCAGTAGATAGAGACCAGAATTAAAATAGGTTAAACTTCTTCAGGCTTCACAGGGAAGGTTTTTGGCAGCTCACGTGGAGGGCTGCCACACAGTGAGGAAGGGACAGAAGCCCTCACATTGTTGCTACTCATGGCATAACGGGCATCAGCTGTGTTGGTATGTGGCTGCACTCACTTTGCCCCTGTTCAACACCAGTAACAACTGAAAACAATGAAAAGACATGACTTTGGCACCTCTCAGACCAGAGACAGACTAGTTGCCGAGGGTCATGTGACAAGACAGTACACAGTAGCAACCCACCCATCAAGTTACCCAACTGGCACAAAAGTGACTAGTGGAAGGCCGGTTAAGCTGGCATGGACAAAGCACTTGTTATGCCTTTACTTTCTTTACATCCTTTACATTTTATGGGCCGCCTGAAATCCTTTTGCACCTATGTTGTACAGGCCTGAATTAAAGTTACCTTGCTTGACGGCCTGGGCTCAAGGAAGCAAGAAGTAGGGATTAGCAAAAGAGTGAAGATAACACCAGAGCCTTTGTTGTTGCCCTCTGCAGTTCAAGGAGTGACCTTGTCAAAGTCCATTCTGCACTGTCTCTCCAGCAGGGCTGTTTTTCATGGTGATACTTCTTGGGGGTCATAGATCATAGGAATTTTAAACCATAAACACCTTGACTGCCCCTATCAGGGCCTGCCATTGGGAAACCTTCCCCCATCTTCTGGTATGTGTATTTCTTTGTTGGCTTCAGAAGTGATGCCAGTCCAATCCTTGATTCTCCTGGTCTTAGATGTCCAATTTCCATCGAGTTCTGGTCTGTCACAAATGGCACTCTTTCAGTGCGATAATTTCATTTTTTCATTTTTTTAAACCTATTCAGGTTTATACTCAGCTTTGCTGGGCAAAGCCCTATTGTCTTTTAACATAGGTAAAAGGTGCTAGGTGTTGGCATTATCCTCATTAAATACTGTAGAGCTACAATTTTTTTGTGTGTATTTTCTCCTTTCAAGGAAGCTTGAAACTTGGCTAAGAGTTTTCATCCTGGGATCTCTTCTTAGGTTTCTTCTGACTCTTACATTTCAAAGTCAAATTTTCTGTTCAGATCTGGGTCTTTTTCTCAAGAAAGTCTAAAAATCCTCTAATTCATTAAATGACTGTTTCTATCTGAATTCAATAGAACAAGATGAGAAGAAGAATTTTTCAATAATAATAACAGTAATAATTTATATGGGTATCATCTATACAAAAATAGATGGCATCCTTGATGAGGGTATCAAAAATACAGGTTTTCCCAAGAGATATTCAACAATGAACCACATCTTTATCATCTCATAATTGACTAAAAAATGTATAGAATAGGCTCAGATTCTTAAAATCTGGCCCACTTGTATTAGTGACACAGATGCTTAGATTCCTTAAGAGTCTGGCCAATATGATGGATCTTTAACTTATCTTGTATTTGCCTGAAAGAAGGCTTGGGTCGAATTAATTTGGGCAGGACCTGCCTGTCATAATTTTGGGGTCTAGCATCCCTAAACCTCAATACCACCACACACCCCAAGTTCCTAATTTTTTTAATATTGAGATACCATATCTGAATATTTGAAATGCATGGAATACATAGGATTTTAATTACATTGAAATACAGATATCGATGTGTAAATATTTAAAATAACTCAGATTACAAGTTAAGAATTTTTTTTTTCCTTTTTGGTGAGGCAATCGGGGTTAAGTGACTTGCTCAGGGTCACACAGTAAGTGTCAAGTATCTGGTCTGAGACTGTATTTGAATTCTGGTCCTCCTGACTCCCAAGGCCTGAGTACTATCCACTGGACCTGCTAGCTGCCCCTAAGAATTCTTTTTTAATTAGGACCAGAACCACCCCCAACCCCAGCCTGTATGTTTACCCGTCCAAAAATAACCAGGACTGGGGTATTGCCCCAGGGTTCGAAGAGCTGAACTACCTACACAGGCGGGCAGAAACACGTGGGAAGGACCAGGGCACTTGCCACAAACTCCATGTGCAACGCAAAGGCAAGAGGGTAGAAGTATACCTTGGCCACAGGGTGCGCGGGGAAGGGGTGGGGGAAGCCAGGCTAAGGCATTGCCTGTATATAAATAGTGGTGCAGAAAGGGGCAGAATTCTAATTCTATTGAGAGTTGGCCCTGGAGAAGAAGAGTAGGGGAATGAAGAAGAAAAGAAGACTGCAAGCTGATTTGCCCTGAAGCTGTGGATTTCAGAGCAGTACACGAGTCTAGGAGCAGAAGCTGAGCAGCAGACACAGCGAACAGGAGCTGGAGCCCAGCTCCAGGACCTGTTCTACTTTTGAAAACACCATCTGATGTGAAAGCATGTGGTGGTATTCTCAAGGAGCTTGGTTTGGGAATGTGTCCCTAAAACCTGGAGCATGCAAACAGAATCCTACATCAGGAAGGAATGGTTCCCTCCCAGGCCCCACCTGACACAGCAGACAAATTGCACAGGTGGATAAAATAACTGCCTTTTGTAGTTGAATAAATATATTAGGATACAAGCCCCCCTCTGTAGGTTCACTGAAAGCCTCCTCAATTCCAGTGGCAGCAGGCAGAATGATTTTTAAAAAATTTCTTCTGCTTGATCTCTGTATTTTGAAAAAGTTTTTGTTCCACTCATCTTAGAGATTTTTAGTATTTGTGTGGTTTGGCCACAGCTATTAAAAATATTATTCTTAAGTTTTTATGGACCATCATTATGTCTGGGCAATTGTGCACAACAATTCAGTCTGTTCAAGTTCCAGTATTATTTAATGGCTGAGTACTCAAGGATATTTTAAGGTCTGTCCTTTAGTATGAATATTCATTTGTCTGTTCTTGAAAAATCATGAGCCTCTGAGATCTAATTCTAACCACCCGCTCATGTCTTGCTGTGTTTTTTGGTAGGTGCTAAATGTTTGCAGCCTGCTGTGGCATGCTACAGTTTCTATTATTTCCTTAAATAATCTGCGTTGATCACCAAGATCTGGATCCTCAAGGATCACCCTTCTATAATTTGTGGTGGTGATGATCTGGTCATCATGATTATGGTCATCATAAACCCATCTATGTCCACAAACAAATTCATGTGATACATACGGTTGTCTGTGGAGGACAATATTATCTTATCGGCTCAGCCATGTTATTATAGACTCCATTCAGATGGATTCTACTTTCTCTTGTATTCAACAAATTGAATGTTGTATATCTTGTTATCCATCTTTTCTACTGCTCAGTGAAGTAATGTCTGCAAAGAACTTCCTTCTGTCCCAGTGCCCATCATCTTCAGCCCACCTTAAGCCTCAACTGTCTATGAAACTTCAATAACATGTATTAAGCACCTGCAATATTCCAGGCACTGTGCTAAGTACTGGGAATACAAATAAGAAAAATAAAGACAATCCCTGCCCTCAAAGAGCTTACAAGCTAATAGGGGAAGACGGCACACAAGAGGAAAAAGAAAATGAGGAGAGGGTGCCAGGGGCATCTTGTTCCATGGAGTTGAGACCAACTAGAGATATAGATACAAAGTGGAGTAATCTGCAAAATCTAGGTTCTGCCCTCTTATGAATTTATCTAACACTTACTGCCTATACCAGGGTAGGGAACTTGCAGCCTCGAGGCCACACATGGCCCTCTAGGTCTTCAAGTGAGGCCCTTTGACTGAATCCAAATTTCACAGAACAAATCCCCTTAATAAAGGATTTGTTCTGTAAAACTTGGACTCGGTCAAAAGGCAGCACTCAAGGACCTAGAAGGCCATGTGTGGCCTCAAGGCCACAGGTTCCCCACCTCTGACCTATACTTCTAATTGCACATTCAAGTCACCAAATGCTGTGACACATATTGTATTTTATTTTATTCAATTCTCATTTCCTCAGCCTAGTCTTTCCAAGTAGATTATGAACTCTGTGGCAGAAAATCATTTGTACTTAGGAGGGAAGGTAATAGAAAATGCTGGATTTAGAGTCAAAAGCCCTGGAGTCAGATCCAAGCTCTGATACTGACTGTATGCCCTTAAAGAAGTCACCTAATCTCTCTGAACATCAGTTACTCAACTGTAAAACAAAGGGCTTGGACTAGAAGACTTACTGACCACCCTCCTAGTTTTAAATCTGTGGGCCTGGAATTATTTATATTCCCTTCCTCCCCCAAATCCAATGATATAACAAGTACTCTGTAAATATCTATTAAATGACCCTTGTTAATAATATATTCACTTCAATACCTGAAAGATCTGTGCTTTCATCCTTCCACCAAAACATTTCCTAACCCCTCCTCATATTAGTAGGTAGTTTAATGACTTCATAAAATTCTGGGATTTTCAGATTTTATGGACTCTGAATCCAATCCTCTTTCCATTACTTTCAGGCCACTGTTCCATTTCTGTGGCCAAAGAAAATCATCCTGTGTTGGCCAGTCCTCAGGCAAAGAGATTTCTTTAGGCTGATTAGCTAGGCTGGAATTTGGATGACTGACTGTCCTTGGTCTATATTGTAAGTCCGCTGGGTAAGACCTGCAAAAGCTCACCCTCTGCTTTTTCAGTTTCATGTATTTCAGTCATTTCAGTTGTGTCCAAGTCTTTGTGACCCCATTTTGGGGTCTTCTTGGCAAAGATACTAGAGCAGCTTGTCATTTCCTCGTCTACCTCATTTTTTTACAGATGAGGAACTGAGGCACTAGGGTTGAGTGACTTGCCCAGGGTTACACAGCTAGTGTTTAAGTCCAGATTTGAACTCATGAAGATGAGCCTTCCTGATTGATTTAAGCCCAGTGCTCTATCCTCTGTGCCACCTAGCTGCCCTCTGCTGTTACATCTTTCCAAAATGTCACTCCCCTTCCCCTACCCATCTCTTTAACAAATAATACAAAAAAGAATACAAATAATACCAAAAAAAAGGGAGGGGGAGCAGTCCAGTGAAACTAATCAACATACCAATCTAGTCCCACATATGCAGTATTTCACACTCATGGTCCCTCACCTCTGCAAAAAAGGGTGGAAAATGCATTCTCATATCTTTTCTTCGGGGCCAGATTTTTTTTTTAACTTAGCAAGTTCTCATTTAATTACATAAACTATACTTGCAAAAATCTAGGTAATATTCCATGAAAATGTTCTTATTGACTGCAGTTTACGAGTTCTTGCCCAGATCTCTGGATTGCCTAGCATCAGCAACTGCTTCAGGTACTCGGACAGTCATATAGTTCATAGACTTTGTTGAACAGATCTGGCAGCCCAAGTGTGATGTGTCCATTAGTCTGTAGGCCAGATCAAGCATGTCATTCTCCTCATCAATAACTGCTTCTAACTTTTCCAATATGTGGTCTTCAAAGACAAAGACAAAGACAAGACGAGGTGGAACAAACCAATGTTCCTTCACAGGCACCAAACCCATCAATGTCTAGATTGTTATTTTTTTTTAATTTTTTAAAAAAATTTTTTAATTTTTAGGCAATTGGGGTTAAGTGACTTGCCCAGGGTCACACAGCTAGTAAGTGTCAAGCGTTTGGTCTGTGTCTAGATTATTATTAACAACAACATCTAGTAGACTGTCACCAGCTTTTCCTTGGGCTGTTCGTTCCTCACCATCACGGTTTATAAAATGAATGGTTGCCTTATCTTCTGAGCTGTGCCGGCTCGGGGCCGACAAGCTGTCGCGCCGGCTGGCCCGCGGGCGGGCGGCGCTCCCCTGCTTCTGCTCCCCGGGCCAGCCCGGCCGCCCGGCGCCCGCTCGGGATCCGGCGAAGAGGAGGCAGCGCCGGGACGCGGCCAGCAGGAGCTTGCCGGAGCCTGGAGCCGCCATGCCGCCTGAGTAACGAACCAAACCGCGGCCGTGTGTGCTCCACCTCGGACCCGCCTCCCGCCGCCTCCGTCCTGAGACGCGGAGGACCCAAGGGTCTGGAGCCAGATTTCATCATTATAATTACATAGTATTTAGTTTCTATTTTTGACGTAAGTGATTTACACTTAAGTCATCGTGTACATTGTTTCCGTTATTCTGCTTACTCACCATCAGTTCACATTAGTCTTCCCATGCTTCCCTGTATTCATTGTTTTTTTCCTGGCAAAGATCTCACTGCAGTCATGTACAACTTGTTTAGCCATTTCCCAGTTTATCTACTTTGTTTCTAGTTTTTTCCACTACAAAAAAGTGCTAATGCAAATATTTTAGTGTAGCTGGTACCTTTCTTTCTCTTCTTGACTTAACCCCAGCATTTAACAGATAAGGTAGTTAGATGGCTCTGTAGGTAGAACCTGGAGTCAGAAAGAGCTGAGTTAAAATTTGATTTTAGACCCTTACTAGCTGTGTGACCCTGGCCAAGTCACAACCTCAGTTTCCTCATCTGTAAAATGGGCATAATAGCACCCACTTTACAGGGCTGTTGCACGGATTAGATGAGATAATAATTGGGAAGCACCTAGTACTTTGCACAGAATAATCCCTAAATAAAATTTTATAATAATGATAATCATTATTACTTTATTTGATTCTCACAACCTTGGGAAGGAGGTAACAACTTCAATAGCTAATGAGATTATTAATTATTCCTGTAATAGTTAATCATATCATCACTGCATTGAATATTCCTTATATTTATACGTCCTATTTCAAGTGCTTACTACCTGTTCGACCTTAGGCAAGTCATTTCTGAGCCTCAGTAAGAGGAGGAAACTGTGCTCACACTATTAGTAAGTGGCTGAGCCCAAATCCCACAGCAGGTTTCCTGGTTCCGGATCAAACACTCTGCTGCATTACTAACATTGGTGTCAGAACCGAAGTCACGACTCCCCCCACCCTCCCAGTCCCCGCCAATGCCTAATCAAATCCCGCTCCTTTTAGTTTCACAGATCCACTTAAACCACCGCAGGATATATACGTCCATGCGCGCCTGTGCGCTCCTGTCGCACTTGCCCTGTCCGGGATGGAGTGCCGCGTCTTCCTTCCCGTACGCCAAAGCACCTCTGCCCACAATGGTCCTTCTTCCGTCCACCCCTAGCCCTATCCTCCACCAGCCCTTGAGAACTACGCTGCCCCACGCGCCCCAACCCCAGCCCCAGAGCGTTTCTCCCTCTCCCTCTTCTCCCTCCCAGTGCTCTCCCTAGTCCCTCCAAGCGAACTTTAAGGGTCATCCGCGGTTCTTGGGAAACTACCGTTCGAAACTCCCGGGTCTCCCTCAGCAAACGCCTGGACCGGCGATCTAGTGCGCTTGGCGGTCAGCTCCGAGTTGGCTGGCTCACAGTCCCAAGGCGCCTGATGTCATCCTATCTTCCACTCCCACTCCAGACGGCCTCTTGGGCGTTGTCACCATCTGCCTCAACTCCACCCTCATTTCAAAGAGTTAGGAAAGATTGTCCAAGATGACCGAGGTTACCATAGTGATATCTCAACCCACCCACCCCCTCAAGACAATTTTTGTTTCTTCAGCAGTGGCCAGGACTGAAAAAAGGGATTTCACCGAAATCCAAGCACAGAGACAGTTTCCCTAATGAAAATTCTCTTGAAATGATTCTTCTGCACAGCCCACAGACATCACTCCTGCAGATAACTAAGACACACTTTTCAAATTGGGCAAGAGAGTAGGCAAATGAAGAATTTGCCTCATCCTGGAATGAAAAACCAAAACAAAGCGTCCTAATTTAAATAAATGGGCTACTCCCTGGCACCTGGGTGGGGAAGTGCTGAGTGCTAGATTTGGAACCAAGAAGACCCGACCGAGTTCAAATCCTGTATTTTTTACTTACTAAATAGCATAACCCTGGTGGAGACTCAATCTCTCTCAGCTTTGCTTTCCTCATCTGCAAAACGGGGATAACAATAGTACTTATCTCCTAGGGTTGAGACCAAATGAGAAGACCTATAGCACTTCCCAAAGTCTTAGTGCAGTTTTAAGCTTACAACACTTATAAGGCTTTATGAATTAATAAAGTTTTAAAATGTTTATTAAATTTATAAAGAACCTGGAAAGTTTATGAGTTTTATAAATCTTTTGTAAACAAACATCATGAGTTTAAAACTACATGAAAACTTTTGGGTCACATTGAATAAGCTTGAAGAGCAGCATGATGATGTAGCTTGGAGGTGGGAAAGGATTCCAGTGTCATCTCTGACACATACACTAAAGGCTGAGATTTGCATCCACAGAGGGACTTTCCTCATTTGAGAGTTCCCTATGGCAATAAAATCACAGATCTAGTCCCTACTAGATTAATTAATATTAATTAATATCCTTGATATTGATGCTTTACATTTAATTTGTACTCACCTGTTTCCTAGATAAACATATGCAAGAATTTAGAGGCAAAAGAAAAAATGCCTTCAAGAAGAAAAGCAAAGAATCACACTCTTTGGTCCCTACCTCTAATGTCAACAATAAAAGTTCCATATTCATAGAATCTTCAAACTAGAAGAGATCCTAGAGGGTCAGAGAGGTTCATGACTTGCTTTTTTTTAAAAGAATATTTTATTTAATTTTTTTCACTTATATGTGAAAACAATTTTTAACATTCATTTTTTATAATTTTTGAGGTCCAAATTCTGTCCTCCTTCATTGAGAAGGCAAGTACTTTGATATAGATTACACACGTTCAGTTAGGAAAACCAACCATGTTGCAAAAGAGAATACAGACAAAAAGAAAAAGTAAAAAAAAAATGCTTTGATCTGCATTCAGACTCCATCAGTTCTTTCTCTGGATGTAGATAGTGTTTTTTCATCAGTAAGTCCTCGGATCATCCATTTTCATCAGTAAGTCCTTGGAATTTTCTTGGATCATTGTATTGCTGAGAATAGCTTAAGTCATTTATAGTTGATCATCTTACAATGTTGCTGTTACTGTGTACAACGGTCTCTTGGTTCTGCTCACTTCACTTTGCACCAGTTCAAAGAGGTCCATATTTAATATGAATATGCAAATAATAAAACTTTATGATGGATGTTAGTGACAAGTATCCTATGAAATCCAAAAGACATTCAGCAGCTGCATTCATCTACTGTTACTACTATTTCACATAGTCATCTTCCATTTGTAGAAACTGCTATTTTCTTGGTCAAGGACATTAAGTCTTGCTAAGCTCTCTGCTTTCACTGTTGTGGATATTTCTTTGACTAATGCAGAGAGGAAGCTTCTGTGCCTCAGTAGATCTTTCATAGTTTAAAAAAATCATCCCCAGATGGCCAGCATTTTGATGAGGAACTAGGCTGGTCCTTTGAAGGACAGATATATAGTCCTTCTTTCACTGAGTCCATCCTGGAAACCTTTCCAGCTTGGTAAAAATTTGCCAAGGTTTGAGTAACATTGGCCTAGCCTTCAATAACTAAAGGTCATCTCCATGCTACAATGAGATGCTGGAGGCAGACTTCTATGGCCTTAGATGTCCCCCAAACCTGTCATCCTCTACCTCCTTGCCTCTGTTTCTTGGCTTTCCTGGCTTCCTTCAATACTCAAGCATCTACTATGATATGATCTACATGTACTATGTACAAGGTGCTATGTTAGGTGCTGGGAATACAGAGACAAAATGAAATAGTCCCCATCCTCAAGAAACTTACATTTTGTTACAAAGATACAATGTTCTGGGTTTTAGGCCTTGACACCTCCTTTGCCTCTTATCTGTCTTTGTACTCTAGCTCCCTGACATTCCCCCCACACCCATACTCACATTCTCCTAGCCTTATTTTTGTCTCTGCTGTCTGTTCTCCTGATTCAACCATTCTGGAAAAAATGACTCAGCTGGGTAATTAATTATAGACTTACAGGACCTATATAAGCCTGAGACTTCCATATTGCACAATTAAGAGCTGGAGAAACTGATTCAAGAGAGCAGAGAAGGAGAAAGAATCTTTAGAAAGCAGGCAAGAATCTATTCATCCCAATTCCTTTCCTCCCACGTGTAGGAAAGATGACTTGGAAGAAAGGCTATGCCCTACCCCCCCTTTCCTCTCTTCTCCCTACCCCAACCTCCATCTCATTCTATTTTAATGCTTCTATTTTCTTAGGCTTGTCTTCCTAACTATAAACTGTGTGGCTAGTAGTCGTCATACTTAGGAAGTTCAGTTAATAATAATATTTTTTTCAAGAGGTACTGAAGAATCCCTCTGGAGCAGGTACCTCATGGAACTCTTCAGGGCCAAATTCCTGCAGCTTTCTCCTCACCTCCTCCACTTCACATGGCCATTGTTTGGGTGCATAGGGAGTCACCAACTCTAATCCTTTTAGTAAAATAGTGGTAAGAGAGCTTCTCTGTACCCCACTGCCTCAGTGGGCAGAGTTGGGGAGCTCACGGTGACTGTGCCCTCTGTGGGTACCAACTCCTCTACCTTCATGATCCTGAAGTGTTTGACAAAGAAGAGGGAAGACTATGATGTGAATTGGAGTGATAGCGAAAAGGAAGGAGTCAGGCTAGGTCGCAGAAGTCAATGAACAAATGAATCAATGAAATGATATGAATGAATGAAAAAAGCATTTATTAATCAATTACTATGTGCCAGGCACTGTGCTAAACATAAGGATACAAAAAAAGGCAAAAATACAGTGCCTGCCCTGAAAGACTTCACGTTCTATTGGGGAGACAACCTGAATAACTGTGTGTGTAACCTGGTGTTCAGTTCTGGGTATTTGCATAAAACTTTCCCCACTGGTGAAAAAAATGATTACTCGACTTTCCATATCTTCAGTGAAAGGTAAAGTTAGAGAAAGAACTTGGCAAAGAAGAGTTCTTAGTCTGCCTCTTGGCTTCAAGAGAGGTTCCTGGCTGTCCCTGGAAAAAGTCCCTGGAAGGAGAGAAAGACTATGGAAAAAAAGCCAGTAGGTAGAAGAGTTAGTGCCTCCAACACATCACAATTTCCAGCTTGTTCGAACTAGAGAATTTGGGGGATTTCTTCTTGAGCTAGGTCAGGAACCCACTTTCTCTCAGGTTGAGCAGAGACATCTCATTCTCAGTGGGAGATTCATTTACTCTATGAATTGTCTGATATATTCTAATCTGTATAACCTCTCTGATTTCTGTTTGCTATCAGCTTGGATAAATGGGTTTCTTCACTATTGAGTAATTTTCACAAAATTATTACTTATTTTTAACATTAATTTAAAAAAATCAAATTCCAAATTATCTCCTTCTAGTCCCTCTCCTACCCATTGAGAAGGCAAGCGATATGATATCAATTATACATGTGAAATCATGCAAAACATATTTCCATATTAGCCATGCTGCAAAAAGAAAAGGCAAGAAAAATAAAGTGAAAAATTATACTTCAGTTTGTACTCAGAGTGCATCAATTCTCTCTCTGGAGGTGGATAACATTTTTTATCCTAAGTCCTTCAGAATTGTTTTGGATTGTTGTATTGATTAGAGTAGCAAAGTTTTTCCACAGTTGATCATTGTTAAAATATTGCTGTTACTGTGTATAATGATCTCCTGGTTCTACTTGCTTTACTTTGCATCAATTCATATAGATCTTCCCAGGTTTTTTATGAAAGCATAATTTCTTATAGCACACTAATATTCCATTACATTCATATACCACATCTTGTTCAGTCATTCCCCAATTGATGGACATCCCCTCAATCTCCAATTCTTCGCCACCACAGTGAGCTGCTATAAACATTTTTGTACATATAGGTCCTTTTCCTTTGGTCTCTTTGGGATACAGATCTAATAGTGGTATTGCTATTTACATTTAGTTTTACAGCCCTTTGGGCATAGTTCCAAAGTGTTCTCCAGAATGGTTGGACCACCAATAGTATATTAGTATCCCTATTTTTCTACATCCCTTTCAGCATTGTCATTTTCCTTTTCTATCACATTAGCCAATATGATAGGAGTGACAAAGTACTTCAAACTATCAGTAATTGTGATGACCTTTGTTTAAGAAGCTTTGGTGTGAAGGAAGTGAAGCTTTTAGATATAGCTTGAGGCACTCTTGCCTTGTTAAGGGATAGTGACCAGGAGAGTGGCTTGAATCTAAAAGTTATTGTTCTCATAGTAATGATATTTAGGGAGAGGGCGGATAGAAATAATTCAAATTTGGTAACTCCTCTCTGAGGATGGTAGAGTAGACCAGCCTCAATCTTATGCTCTCCTCCTATCAGGAATCAAGTCTCCCTTGGTGGAGTGTAGGCTAGATTCCAGAGATACCTATTTATGCCTCCATGTGAACGACATTTTGATAAACCCACATGGATATATAAATAACTCACGTGGGCAACCCATACACATGCCCTACATATATAAGACATA